TTTCAAAAAGTGTTTTTAACAATTTCAATATAAATTCTCGAAAGGTTAGTCTTAATCGGTTAGTCGTTAAGTACAACGAATTATTTACGAGAGATTAGAACAATTCTTATTTCGAGTTTGCAAATTTACACCTGTTAATTGATCATCTTTATTAATGAATTTATAATGAATTTTTTCCATGTGCAAATAAAGCACATTGTTTTGGTACGCGTCAACATTACTACCCACGTGAATTGTATTTGATTATATCGTGTATCCAACATCCATATCTAATCAAATAATTAGAGGCTTCTATTTACTCGTGGTCATCGGTGTAAAATAAGATGGATGATGTATATACATATATACTCTACATATATATATGCAATAGATACGTGTTGTTTGCGATGTAATTTTTTCGTAAGAAAATATACATATTTACACGGAAGTGAGATATATTTAATTTTTATTCTTGTGTTGAAGATGTATGAGCATTTTAAAAATAAAACTAATTATTATTTTTACTTAATATCAAATTTTATTAACTAGATATACGATTTATTGGATATGTTATTATTAAAATTATTTGTTTAATTTTTCTTCAATTTTTCTTATTCAAAATCATCGCATCAATTTTTCAGAAATGATTTATTTTTATGAGACGAGTTATTTAATTAATTTTAATTATTTTTAAGAAACGAGTTATTTAATTAATTTTATCACATTTCTTTATTTTGGAATTGATGTCACTTTTTATATGTCTATAAGAATAGTTATTATATAGACTATTAATATTGTATATTTGTAGAATAAAATAAATACAAATATATAATTGTATTTGTACAAATAATTTTTAAATCTCTATTCATTTTATATTTTAAAGATCCATTCTAAAATCAAAAATATACAAAAATAGAAAAATAATTTCCAAACTTTTCTTCAATATATTTTATATTTTATTTTACCCAATAGAATAACTCTTAAATTGATTCCAATGTCCAAAACATACGAAAACGGTAAGAAAATAATTTCGAAATATCTCTCTCTATATATATATACATTTTATTTTATCTCGTATCTTACAGTTTTAATATTAATATCTGTAGAATAATCTTTGAAAAATTCAATCCAAAGCTCAAAATAAAAGAAAATAATTTCAATGAATCAATTTCTATAAGTTTTACATTCTATTTCATCTTTTATTTATCCACTTTCCATATTTTCAGACAATGATTCGGTGATCGTGCAATTAAGCAGTTTTCAACAGTCAAAGTGGCAGCCATCAACAATCTCCTTCTCTGCGCGAGCCCCGAGAGATATAAGAAGACAACGTTGGAAGAATTGTCGCGGTTTGAGAATACGTTTTACACGATGAACGAACCAGATCCTTGTCTACCATTGATTCTACCACCTAGATACAGGCTTCGTGATCTCATACTGGGGGATTATGCTTTCAACGACGATGGGGAAAGGTGAGTTCGTCATTTAAATTTTATCATTTATTTAACAAGAAGCTAAAAAAAAAATTTCGTATTTTTTCATTTTTCTTCTTTTTTTTTTTTTTTACTTTTTTTTTATACTTATTATTATTGAAAATATTTTTAACAAAATGAATTATTAATATAATCATATATATGAGAATTATAAGATATTTAAAAATCATAGATAAGCCTGGTATTGTTCTAGCTAGTTTTTTTAGTTTTTTGAATTTTTCTTCTTTGCGAATAAAAATACATCGATCGATCCTTCCATAAAACGATTAACCTCCTCGGGGACATCAAAGGCAATGCGATTCTTTCAAAGCAGTAAAATAAAATATCGCTAATATCATGCTTTGAATTTTTTTTCCTGTTTTTATCATTAAAAAAGATTCTGTGTGCACAGTGTTCCTCGACAAATTTTAATTCGAACGAAAATTAATACGCGTCGGTCAGTCTTTGAAGAGAGGTTAATCCATCCATTCGTGTTATAACCTAGAAACGATTCAAATCAAAAGTGTAAAACTGAAGCGATGAAAACATTTGTTGTAAACGAAAATCGTTTAATAATCGTAAGTTTATTAAATTTTGAAAACATCTTCTGAAATTTTCGTGTTTTTTCATAGTTAAAAGAGGATTCGATTGTACTCGATCGATCTTCGTGGAAAATTTTTTTCGATGAATTTTTTTCGTGTAATAGGATTCTTTTTTTCTTATGAAAATTTTATTAAATTTTGGATTAATTAATTGCAACCGTTTTTTTATGAATTTTTAGATACTCGAGAAGCGTTGTGATTTTATTATTAAAATTTTCCAAACGAATTGAATCTTGTCTTGAATTCCCTTTATCCAATATCGAAAGGAACGAATAATTCGTTTGCTCTACCATTGTATTTATCCAGGCGAAGCATAAAATATTAAAATGTTGAAATATTGAAATATTTCATACTGTAAATTAATCGTGTGTTGCTCGTTTATGTAATATTTTAATCTCTTAATAAATTAATCGTTGGAGTTTCGAGTGCTTTCGTATGAAATTTATTATTATTATTATTATTTTCTTTTTTGTTGAAAAAGTAACTCTCTTCAATTCGAGACAACACGCGACGTGTTATCTTGTGTATCGATCGTATTTCCCTTTGAGGGGAATAGAAGTATGATATTTTTTTAACGAATTTAATTGCAATTTCTTCGAATCGCTACGAATCCCTCGATAATTCAGATTCTTATGTCGCAGTGGTGAATTGAATTGAACGACACGATGTCTATTGTTGCCATTTGGAATTTCGATTCGTGGAGAGGAGAAAAATTATAGTATCGAATTTAAGGTGGATACTTATCAATATCCAATTTTTAATATCAATATAATTAATTGTGAATTAATCGTGATGAAAATTAAATAATTATACGTTAAATTATTATATACAATTATAATACAATTATATATACAATTATAATTATAAATTATATATACAATTATAATATTCGTGATAATATATTAATAATTAATGAAATTAATGAATAAATTAATGAAAATTATATTGTACATTCAATGGGAAAAATTTTAGGCAATATGCAAATTATTATTAACAGAATATAATTCGTGAATTATTTATAATAAAAATTAGGAAATTGTACATCAAGTAGGAAAAATTTAAAAAAAAATTATATACGTGTACGTGAATATATATTCTTTCATTAAATCATTACTTTTATAAAAAAAATATGGAAATTTTTTTTTTGATAAATTTATTTTCTGTGTATAGAAAATATTCTCAAAATCTTTCGAATAATTTATTTCTCATCCATTTAGACAATTAAAATTCGGATAATCGATATTCTATCATACGTATATTCTTTCATCGAATCATTATTATCACAATAAATATCGAAAAAAGTATAGATATTGACAAGTTTATTTATTTTTACATATAAAAAAAAATTCTTAAAATCTTCTCCGAATAATTTATTTTTCGTATATTTTCCAATATTTGGTTATTAGATAAGTAAAAATTCGAATAATCGATTATATTCTTCTATAACACGTTTCAATGTTATTATGGATACGATTACTGCGAGAAAATAAATAGAGATCGACACGTGGATTTATTTCTGTGGATAGGAGATCTTCTCAAGATCTTCTCTAAATAATTTATTTCTCGTCCATTTTTCCTGTTATCTTCATCGTAATCGATTATTTTCTTTTCTCGAAAGAGAGGTGAAGGAATAAAAAAGTTGTAAAAAGTTCAATCTTGATGCAATGCGTTATTTTCCATCTATTCAGAATTTTAATTTTGTTAATTTTTAAAATTTTTTCACAATAAAAAGAAAAATGTTCGATACGTTAGAAGATGAAGAAAGATGGAAGAAATTATGATTTCGATTTTTATTTTTAACTTATACGTTCTTACGAATTCTCGTTGGAATCGATTGAATTTAAAAATATCCGAGATGAAAGATTCAGAAGAGAAAAAAAAAAA